TAATTACCAATATCTGTATCTGTAGAGAAGGGAGGGTGATTGTAGGCCACATGTGACCCATTCTATACTTCAAGTAAACGATATAGTGCCCCCTACCTTCCAGCAGTTCCACTTCAATAAAATAGTTAAAGAGCTAACTAACAAATGTTGTTATTTTTGTTATTCAATAATCATTTCTGATTATATAAGACTCACAATAATAATACTATATATTCCATATTCTCCGTTTCACTATCATTGTCGTCATTTAAATCAATAATGAATTCATTTCCACCATTGATATGGAAGTGTCCAATCTCCATATAGTCTTTTTCAACTGAAATTACTTTTTTAATCCGTTTCTGTCAGTCTTCTTCGGTTATATCAGATACTTCTTTTTTAACTAGCTCTATCACCTTCTTATTAAATTTTGGAAAATTATTTTTACGTCTGATGCTTTGTTTCAATTTTCCTCAAATCAACTCGATGGGATTGAAAACACAAAAATAGGGAGGAAGTCTCAATATGACGTGTCCATACTTTTCAGCAATAATCTCAAGGGCATACACTCTTTCGAATGTTTTTGTCTGTAAAACTTCAAGTAGTTGGTTTTTGGTATAGTTATCTTCAAAATACAAATTGGTACCCATTTACAAAATACAAATTGGTACCCATTTACAAACTNATGAGAGCTCCAATATTCGGAGAAATAATATGATCCTGCAAAAGGCAACAACAGATATCGACGTCATTAAAATCATCGGCAATGTCACTGAAGTGCGGAACACGATTACAAACCTTGAAAATATGTCTGTCAAAGTGAAGAAAAACGAATTTTAAAATCACAATCATTTTATACCTCGTAATGTGTTATGTATTAAACTTTCTGGTAGTTGTTCACTAGCAGTAGTAAACAAATACATCAGGAAAATATGCGAAACTATACGCATTATGAATAAGTGTATCTACGTCATTTAACGGTGAATGCGGATTGAGTTACTGTGAGAAAACATAATTCATCGTATAGCATAGAATCAACATGAAATTAGATTCAACAGATGTTTATTTGTGTGAAGGATATAATTACGAATTAAAAAAACAACCTTCAATTTGAAATTGAAGATTTGGATGGACAGAAGTTATTGGAAAACCACTATTTCTGACAGTGAGCAGGGTCCTTCTAACACCAGTTCACTGAGAAATAGCATGGTGACTAAGAGGCCCACTAGCAACTTCAAAATCGATTTCTACAACATCAGAGGACTACACTCAAATATAAACTCGGTGCACCAACATCTGCAAACAAATAGTCCTCATATTATTGCACTCACAGAAACCAAAGTCAGTGCTTCAACTAACCCCGTCAATTTTCTATGTCCCGTCTATGATTTCCATTCCCCATTCAGACTTTGGAATATGTCTTTTTATCCGAAACGATTGTCAACGAGAGGAAATGCTGGAACCCCAAAACTTTAAAGTTATTGGATTTAAAGTAATATCACAGAATATCATTAAATTCATATGCTACATTTATCAACCTCCCAACAATATACAATATAGAGCACTACTCTCTTTACTTGTAAACACCATTAATTTTCTGCAAATCAATCATTCTAGTGCCGAAATTTCCATATTCGGTGATTTCAATGTTCACAGTATCGAATGGCTCAAATTTTCAAATATCAATGTGAAGCTGCGGCTTTTTCATTGAGCAGCAGACTAACTCAGATTATAAATGAGCCAACCAGGATTCCTGACCGTGATGAAGAATATGCTAGTCTTCTGGATCTATACCTAACAACCAATCCAGAAATTTACACAGTCACCGTAAGGTCTCCGTTGGAATTTTGTGAACACAAACTCATTTCAGTATTGAACGAATTACCGATAAATGTTGGGCATAACAGAACTTCTGAGTGGAAGGATCTCTAAGACCATTTCGGAAATATCCTCTGGCTAGATGTTTGTCACAGAAGTTATTCTATCATCCATGGATGCATATATTCCTTTTTCAATGGAACGAATTTTTGACAGCAAAAATTGCGAAATTGCGAAAATCTGGCCTACTGGCAGTGCCGCTAAAATCCCAGTACCAAAAACCGAATTAGGTTTGTTATTACGCGTAACAGCTGCAAACTTAGAATAAATGAAAGCAAAGATCTTTACAACAGAGAATTAGGGATAAACTGCTTGCCAATCCCGACGGGTCAAGATCCTTCTGGTTGGTAGCTGAGCTGTTGATCAACAGTCTTTTGCATATCTTAATGAGGATCTAAAGCAAATTCAAATCCAAGATATCACCGGTGTTCCATC